TATACGCGAATGCATATATGTTTCAATTTGAGAGTCAATATATTTTAAATCAAGTACCTAATAACATCATGGCATACTATCGTTTTGTTGACGATGTGTTTATCTTATGGAAGGGTTCATCGAGTGAATTGGAGTATATGGTATCTAATATTAATAAACTCCCATTACCAGTTAAATTTACATTGGCATATAATGAGAAAGAAATATCCTTTCTGGATGTAACTGTATATAAGGATGGCGATAAATTGGGATATACACTTCATTGGAAGAAAACGGACAGAAACACTTTACTTTCAGCCACTAGTTACCATCCTCAGAGGCTCAAGGATTCGCTACCCATGTCTCAATATATGCGTGTACTACGTTACAACACTGACCCCAAAAATAGACTAAGTCAATTAGTAGAGATAACACACAGATTCCAAGAGAGAGGCTACAATTTGATGATCCTTGAAGCAGCTAAAACTCGAGCGATCAAGAAATGGACACAGGAGACCAATGGAATACAACAGAAATCTACCAAGGACACATTGAATATATATTTACCACTTACGTACCATACAGGGTCTACACAAATCCGTAAAGCTATTGATAGACACTGGGATATATTAGGCTCAGACAAGTATTTACCTTCAATATTACGCAAAAATCCAATTATCAGCTACAAGAGGAAGAGAAATTTAAGAAATAGCTTAGTCCGCAGTGATCCTACACAGTGCTACAAGAAAAATACAACGCATAAGAAACTCGGATGTTACAGATGCAGTGGCTGTGTCACTTGCAGTCATATGACTTCTGGTAACTCTTTTGTTCACCCTCATAGTGGGAAAAGAATTATTATTCCCCATTATATTACGTGCACAACAGACCATGTAATCTACCTTATAACATGTCCATGCGGACTATCCAATGTAGGGAAGACGGATCTAACTTTAAGGGATCGTATTCGAGGACATAGATCTGGCATCATGACGGCTTTCAGGAATCAAAAAACAGATAAGCCAGTGGCTAAACATTTTTTAGCAGCCTCTCACAGACTTCCTACGCTTAAATTTGTGGCCATTGATCATGTCCCTCCGTTATCTCGTGGAGGTGACAGATCTAAACTTCTGCTCCAAAGAGAAGCGTATTGGATCTTCAAATTGGACACAGTCACGCCTAAAGGTCTTAATGAGTACAATACGTACTCTGTTTTTGTAAAATCTATGTATTATACAGGCAATTCTGTTTATGATGTTTTTTGTTCAATAGGGTTTCCTGCATAAAAGTGTTAGCTATTCCTTATATATGAGGATTGCAATATATAATTAGTATGCATTCTTCATTAGCTTTGTAGCCCTGTTGAGTACTCTGGATAGGTGGAGCTATAATATATATTTGAAATTGACATGTAGAAGTAGGTATAATTATAATAGAGGCAATTTGCTGTCACAGTTCTTTACATTACTTTATTGCTCATTGGTATACCCTTTATAAGGATGTAGATGAGCAGTCCTTCATTCTACAGTATTTTAAGAGGAACTGTTTAATGCAGGTACTGTGCCTTTAAGGTGGACACAGCGCCTGTTATCGCCACGGTTATTAATAGCATGGCTCACATTTAATATGTAACTATATGAATTAAGGGGGACAAATACCGATATTATGTGCTGTGTATAGACTATTACAGAGTATTCTGCGATTTTGTTGTGTAAAAAGATGTAAAAAGATGTATTGTTTATGATACTCATTGGGGTATGGAATTGTAACTTGTATGTGGTGTACATTCACACTTATTTGGTGTGTATGTACACATGATATGTTTTTTTCCATAATATAGATACTATTAGACAGATCCTTTGTAATAGACCCTTTGTAGGTGGGCACATTTGGATATCTTCACTGGTTTTGTGTCAAATTGGTTTTCACTCATATTGCACATCTATTTTGCACATCCATAATGACTCACTTTTACATGGGTGACTACCATAGGACTGGTAGGTTGTTTACATAAGTATCCTCCTTAGAATATGTCCTTATATGTATAGATCCCTGTACTGGGTGATCACTAACATCACCACGTTTGTTCTATCTGTCTTTAGCACAGTCGGCCACACACACATTTAGTTTAGTCTATCCGACATCACGTTGCTTACGTGATTCCTCTGTTGCACTTCCGGGTTTCGGATGGCGGGCGGCTTTCTCTCTTACACACCTGTTGGTAAGTTATCAACATTATTATTATATATATATACTCACCTTGTATACTGCACTATTGTTCTTGAAGAAGACCTTGTAAGGGTCGAAACATCGATAATTTAAACCTGCACATGTAACTTGCACAAACGAATAAATCAGAAGTTTGATGAAGACCTGTGAGTGCTCCTTGTACATATTTTTTGTTATATATATATATAACAAAAAGAATAGTCTTGCACTACACTTACTGGTGTCTCTGCCCGGTGCTTATCGGCACAGTATAACAAATTGTGCAGAGATAGCACTCCCAGGAGCACTTCCAGGACTCCAAATTTAAAAGATCAACACTTCAGTTTGTCACCCAAACTTTCATCCTGAAAATGTGTGAATATATAACAAAACACATAAAGAACTAACCAATGCAGTTTAAGGACAGCACGAAGACTGATTAAACCCGGAAGTGTCGGCCACCCACGTGGGTGAGGTGCAGGTGACATGCTCTACATGGCTGCTATGTAACCAAACGTCAAACATTGGCTTTGGTCACTAAACAACAAGAAAAAAAATGATATGAAGTACTGGGAATCTAGCACTGAGGATAAAGCGATAAAGCAATAAAGGGAAAACGAAAAAGGCACCTATGGGGAGAAGGGAGGGGAAAGAGGGGAAAGGGGAAGGGACAAGGACAGGTATAGAAATAGTGAATAGTGAGTGTGGACAAACTAATAAAACTGTGCAAAAGAGTGGAGATCAATAACTAGTTGTTAATGTGACACAGCGGGAACAAACACATAAATGTGAAAGAGAGTAAGAGTGCAAGGGGTAGACACACACAAACCATAAGCCCAAGGTGTCAGAAAATACAATATAATGAGATATTTCATGCAAACAAGGCTAACACGTTGACTGCATGCTGTCTTCTTAATTTACAAATGAACACATAAAACATACTTGTACTAAAACAATCCATGTATAGTCAATTCTCAACCCATGCAGTCTAACTGGCATCATGCATACACAACAAAATGTCTGCGCTGTATGTGCGAAATCTAGAACTAACTAAAAATCATATATCAAATATGTGATAAACAGATCAGGCCGTGATCCTGTCTCAAATGGTAAATGTAATGTGGTCATTTTAAATAAAGCAGGGGTACAATCCAACTACAATCTACTGAAAGCTATCTAAGGATTACCAATGGCGAAAAACAGGGAGTTACTACATCATATTACCCTATATTATGAGAGGGGGCAACTAGTCAAAGAGGAAAGTGGCAAAAGATCAAAAACTAAAGGGTCTATAATCCTATTATATTAAATAACCCACATTAGAGCAACCAACTAGGTTACCATACATTCCTTATTAAGGACATAAGATCTGTGGAGATATTACATCGAAAACAAATTAAGAAAAAAATCAGAGACTAGCAATTGAAAAAAATTAAGAATAACTATATAGCGATCAATTTAAATGCAATGGACCATAGACAACAGAATGCAAGGTAGTTATCCAAATGTTACTTACTAAGTATACTGAAAAGATTAACCATAACTAAAAAAGAATTAAAAATAATTGTAAAATAAACTAAACCGAAAGGACCAAACCAAAAAAACAACAAAAAAATCAAAATCAAAAGATAAAAAAAAATCTAAAATCCGCTTCTTACTAAGAATATAGAACTGAAGGTCAGTCATAATACTCTGTTGTGACTGAGTCTATCAAAAAACCTATCTAGTAGGCGCATAGATAATACCCAGTAACCATATACTCATCTGTGCCACAGAAATCTGAGAACAAAATAAGAAACAGACAACCAAAACAATATCCATAAAACTATATACAAATTAAAAAGTCTGTCCAATTTAAACAAACATAGAGTAAATGTTTTCAGGTCAATCTCTTTTTATTGAGGATCAAACATTATACACAGTTGAAGCAGTAATATTATACAACGTGAGATGCATAAATCGTATACAGGAGCAGTATAATTGCATAAGAGTGCATGAAAGACATTGTTTGTTAGTTTTTAAAGTATAGATGCAAACTTGCGGGAACTATGTTGCAACACGGGCGTGAATAAAGTATATGTCAGGTTATAGGCCGATAGCCTGGCTGCACTTGATAGGAGCAGTGACAATGAATATTGATACCATGACATGAGTAAAGCTCAGGCTAGTAGTTGAAGTTAGCACCCAGTGGTTGAGCTTTTCTATCTAGAAGGTTGCTGTCTGGGAGTTTGAGCTCCCGACCTCGCATAGTCAGTTGCATCAGTTAGCTACTTAATGGTCTGAAGGGCGTCAGGGCCCGTTATGCCTCCCATTTACAGGAGGATAGTGAGTTGGGAGGATAAAAGCAAGTATAGGGTGGGAGGGAAAGGCGAGGGGAGGGGGGAGAATGGGTTTTCTTGGGGTTCCCCCAGCAGTGGGTGCAGCGCCTCCCCACGTCCCCCTAGGGTGTCCGGATGTGTGTGCCCGCAGTCCAGTGTTATGCCCAATTGCATAGTCAGTTGCATTAGTTAGCTACTTAATGGTCTGAAGGGCGTCAGGGCCCGTTATGCCTCCCATTTACAGCCCATAGGCCCAACACCGTGGTCCGAACGGCCTGATCGGCTAACCTGTGATCCTTTGGGTTCAGGATGTAGGCCGGGGCAGCTACTTGGATGTGTCATGTGTGCGTTGTCATGTAAGTAAGACACTAGGTAGGTGTAAGACAAGGTAAGGGGAAGTGAGAGAATAAGTACAGGGGGGGCGAGAAAGGCAAGGAATAGAGGAGGATAGTGAGTTGGGAGGAGAAAAGCAAGTGTAGGGTGGGAGGGAAGAGAATGGGTTTTCTTGGGGTTCCCCCAGCGGTGGGTGCAGCGCCTCCCCACGTCCCCCCAGGGTGTCCGAAAGTGTGCGCCCACAGCCAAGTGTTATGCCCAATCGGTCCAGGCGCAGCGCCAGCCCTCCCCCACCACCAGTTCGCAGGTGTGGGCTTCACAGTCTTAGACGGGCCTCCGAGATATGAATTCAAGCCACGGTGTCCAAGTCTGCAGGCAACGGTGTGCGGTTCTCCGCAGGGAGGCTGTAAGCTGCTCCATTCCGTGGATCTCTTCAACCTTGTCCATCCAGTGTTGGAAGGTGGCTACTTGAGAGGTCTGCCACCTAAGTGGAATGAGCAGTTTGGCCGCATTTAGGAGGTGCTTGGTTAGCAATATTGTTTGGTTGGAACGGTAGATCCATGTCCAATATGTCTTTGATCTGTGCATGGATTTGCATCCAGTACGGGGCTATTTTTCTGCAGGACCACCATATATGGATGTCTGTGCCCACCTCGTCCTCGCATCTCCAGCAGGTCTCTGAGGCGTCAGGTATCATCCTGTGTATTCTTTGCGGCATTCTGTACCATCCTGTCAGCAATAATGTTTTCATTTAGTCCTTTTGGGGTCACTGTTTCCAAGTGGTGTATCCAAAAGGCTTCTCTCTGTAGTAATAGTTTCAATATATAGATTGTTATATATGTAATATTATTGTAATAGTTTCAATATATAGAATAAAGTAATATGTATTATGGATAGACAGTGAGTGCAACCATACTTTTGATTACATATATATATATATATATATATATATGTAATGAACTCCAGATAGATCAACAATTCAGTCCATACAAGGACTTTCATCAGGTATCTTGATCCTGATGAAAGTAATAATTATAATAATTATAATAATATCTATTAAGGAAAGACCGTGAGTGCAACCATACTTTTGATTACTTTTATGTCACAGAAGCCTTATGGGCTGGCACCTAGCAAATTGAAGATTATATATATATATATATATATATATATATATATATATAAAAAGAGATAGAACTTGGCACTCACCCTTTACTGTAAATATCCGGATAAATATTGCCTGGGTGCAAACCTTAGCGTTATAAATACAAAAATATATATAAATAAGGTGCACTCACAGGTCTTCAAAAGTGCTTCTTTTATTTTACATGCAAATTACATGTGCAAAAAAATCTTCAAATAAATCGATGTTTCGACCCCTATAGGGCACATGTAATTTGCATGTAAAATAAAAGAAGCACTTTTGAAGACCTGTGAGTGCATCTTATATATATATATATATATATATATATATATATATATATATAAAAAGGTAGAGGGATGGACCGCACCCCAGGGACTTGAGAAAAATTGTAGATAAAACTTAACTTTTATTTACCTATTATCCTAAAACCTGTTGAACTTTTAGCTGCACACATGGAGCTTTCATCAGGACAGCTTTATAAAACATGTCAACGTTTCAGCTACACACATGGAGCTTTCATCAAGACAGCTGAAAACTTCATGTGTGGAGCTGAAACGTCAACATGTTTTAGGATAATATGTAAACAAAAGTTGTTTTGCCTATGATTTTTCCCTGAAATGCAGACCATCCCTCTACCTTATGTTTATGTGCCAGACCTGCACTGTGCAGTACCCCTTTTAACCTGGAGTGCAAGCCACACACACATTGTTTTAAATTTAGGGTAATGCCCTGTGTTTGGAGGGACATAGCGACCATTTCCACTTCCATTTGATAGTGTTATTTTCATAATGAAAATAAGCAAAGATGCAGACACCCAGAACAAAGTCAAGGCCAGGAAAGTAACAGGGCATGAAGAAAAAATGGATTCCCCCTCTAAATTAACATTTTTGGAATAGTCTTAGCTTTCTTTGCAGTCCATTTTCTGAGTAATATTTAATAAATATGTTGTTCTAATTAAAATAGACTTAAGAAGAAAACCAATCCAACAAAACAAACAAAAGGTCTCTCTTTTAAACTGCAAATAAGCAAATAAAAAAGGATGTTTGTATTGTAATGCAAATTTTAAGTAAGCAGTGCAATTTAAAATCTGTGTCATTGAATATATTTTTGAAAACCGAGCATCTAGGAAGACATGCAATATATCGCACAGTAGTGTTTTTAACTCCCTAGAGATACAGGGTATTGCAACTACAAATCCTAAGTCGTCATTGCTACTGAACATCAAAATTATTGTCAGTGAAGTGACCTTGGAAATGTTTTATTCAGCATAATGCTAAATGGTTTTGCTTTATCAATAATCTTTTTTCTTATAACTGCAAAAAAACTTTACCTGGATCACAATAGTCAAGGTTCATCATGAAATGTTTGTCCTCTTTTCCCAAATCAATAAATACAATGATAGAAAAAAATCAGTGAGTAGTAAAGTATGAAGATAATATTAATTAAAACAATGTAAATAAAAGCAATCCAGTATATTCTTTGGAAAGTAAAATCAGTTATGTGTTTGATTAATATTTACTCATGGCTGCAAAAATTATATCTATGATATACCTTATAATTTTGTTTTGCTTCTGAATTATACTTTATTCCTTTTAAACTTGTTATATTTGCTGCAAAAATTATGGCAGAATAAGTCTGTAACTAACTGACTCCAGTTAGAGCGGATTTTGAATCGGACCAAGACTGCTACATGATACACTGCAGTGTAAATGTATGTTTAAAAGTTATTATAGGTATGTTTCTTTTTTCAGTTAAAAATATTGGTCCTTTAAGGGGAAACATTTTATTATACAGAAGTGTATGGTTAGACCAATGCACTGGCTTAGAGTGCATGTGCATGCTCTGGGCTGATGAGAGGAGACAAGACCAGACTGGGAAAACAAAGCAGACCTTGAAAAAAGAATGTATGTCAGCCCCATAAGTCATTGTGCCATGTAGTGTGCATATATATATATATATATATATATATATATATATATATCCAGTCAAGCCATAAGACTTTCTTTTTCAACAGAAATCACAAATTTTCAGTGATGTTACTACCGCAGAGGATTCTGGGTGGGCGTATGCAAATTAGTTAAAAAAATAAAATGTTTGCCTTTTGCCATATTCCATTTTAACCCCTTAAGGACACATGATGGAAAAATTCCGTCACGATTCCCTTTTATTCCAGAAGTTGTGTCCTTAAGGGGTTAAACCTGGATTCCTTTGAGCCTGTGTTTGTATACAACAGCTTTGAAACACGACTTAGGAAAAGATGCAAAGCCAGTGAACCACATATGGACAGCTGTGTCATTTTTTGGTTTTTGCTTCGCAAGTACTGCCAAGCCTCAATAGCAAGCCAGTAACCAACCTCGTGCTGATGATTTGCATTAACAATCAAACAGCTGTCCATGAGTGGTTCACTGGCTTTGAATATTTTCCTAAATTGTGTTTCAAATCTGTTGTATACAGCAAACACAGACTCAAAGGTATCCATGTTTAAATTGAATGATGCAAAAATGTGATTCTTTGTTGAACTAATTTGCATATGCCCACCCATAATTCTTTGCGGTAGTAACATTACTGCAAATTTGTGATTTCTGTGGGAAAAGCAAGTCTTATGGCTTGACTGGTGTGCAGATTTTTGTTTAACATTGTATTGACTATCCACAGACTTCAGGTGGAAGGGGTTTTCATCTCAATTTTTCCCCACTATAACTTCTTTGGTATATATATATATATATATATATATATATATATATAATATGTAAAAGTATTTGATCCCCTGCTGATTTTGAATGTTTGTCCACTGACCAAGAAATGATTAGTCTATAATTTTAATGGTAGGTGTCTTTTAACAGTGAGAGACAGAATAACCAAAAAAAATCCAGAAAAACGCATGTCAAAAAGTTATAAATTGATTTGCATGTCAATGAGTGAAATAAGTGAGTGCTCCTAATCTCAGCTCGTATAAAAGACACCTGTCCACAGAAGTAATCAATCAGATTCCAAACTCTCCACCATGTCCATGACTAAAGAGCTATCCAAGGATGTCAGGGACAAGATTGACTTCCACAAGGCTGGAATGGGCTACAAGACCATCGCCAAGCAGCTTGGTGAGAAGATGACAATAGTTGGTGCGATTATTTGCAAATGGAAGTCTCCCTCGGCCTGCCACTCCATGCAAATTCTCACCTCATGGAGTTTCAATGATCATGAGAATGGTGAGAAATTAGCCCAGAACTACCCAGGAGGATCTTGTTAATAATCTCAAGGCAGCTGGGACCATAGTCACCAAGAATAAAAGTGGTAACACACTACTCCATGAAAAACTGAAATCCTGCAGTGCCCGCAATAGTCGCTCTGCTCAAGAAAACACATGTGCAGGCCTGTCTGAAGTTTTCCAATAAACATCTGAATGATTCAGAGGAGAACTGGGTGAAAGTGTTGTGGTCAGATGAGACCAAAATCGAGCTCTTTGGCATCAACTCAACTCGCCATGTTTGGAGGAGGGGGAATGCTGCCTATGACCCCAAGAACACCTTCCCCACTGTCAAACATGGAGGTGGAAACATTATGCTTTGGGATGCTTTTCTGTTAAGGGGACAGGACAACTGCACCGCATTAAAGGGACGATGGACGGGGTACCGTCAAATCTTGGATGAGAACCTCCTTCCTTTAGCCAGGGCATTGAAAATGGGTTGTGGATGGGTATTCCAGTATGACGATGACCCAAAACACACAGCCAAGGCAACAAAGGAGGGGCTCAAGAAGAAGCATATTAAGGTCCTGGAGTGGCCTAGCCAGTCTCCAGACTTTAATCCCATAGAAAATCTAAGGAGGGAACTGAAGGTCCGAGTTGCCAAATGTCAGCCTTGAAACCTTAATGACTTGGAGAGGATCTGCAAAGAGGAGTGGGACAAAATCCCTACTGAGATGTGTGCAAACCAGGTGGCCAACTACAAGAAATGTCTGACCTCTGTGATTGCCAACAAGGGTTTTGCCACCAAGTAGTCAAAGGGGTCAAATAATTGCCTGGAAATTATAGACCTGTGAGCTTAACTTCTGTGGCTGGAAAAGCATTTAAAAAGTTAAGGGATAATATTCAAGAATTCCTTACATAGGACATGAGGTCATGCTTTTAGACTGTAAAAAAAGGTTTTGTCTAAGGAAAAGAAAAGGGTTTTTTTTACTGTAAGAACAATATGGATGTGGAATTCTCTTCCTGAAGAAGTTTTTTTTTTTTTTTATCTGAGCCCATACAGATGTTCAAACAGCAACTAGATGCATTCTTGCAAAAACAGAATATTCAAGGACATAATTTTTCAATGTACGGTAATAGCTTCTTGATCCAAGGATCAATCTAACTGCCATTCTGGGGTCAAGAAGGAAT